CTGCTTTATATTCCTCAACTGTGAGTGTTCCTGAATTATCCTTGTCCGCCTTTCGGAATATGGCAGCGATATCTTCCTGAAAAACAAATAGGCGTTAAGACAAATTAAAGGAATGTTCACATCAAACAACTGTTCCAATATAATAGATAATGTAGCGATGTAACGGTAATTTAGCATTAGCAAATCAAAGAATTTGTTGATTATACTTCTTCACTACCTTATTAACAAGAAAATACGGAAGAACACAGATTTCCATAGAGCAAATAGAGAACCAAAGAACTGGTCTACTTATCAATTCTAATATAGAAACCAGAAATTAACTGGTTCTCATGACTCCCATGATCCCATTCACCTTTAGTTTTAACTGTTCACCATGTTGTAATCATCTCACAATAGCCATTCCATGACGAGAAAAATAAATCCCACAGTTGTGCTGAACATACTTTTCCCAAATAAAAGAACGATGAGACAAAGGTCTACTGGAAACTGCAATTTTTGGCAACTTTGGTACAAAAATACACGTTCGAGAAATAACAGGGGCACTTACCATGACTTTGCGCTGATTTATTGTGGCACAATCACCAATTGCATACACTTTGTCACATCCCTCCACTCGCAGCCATTCATCAGTTGCTAACACCCGTCGATTAGCCTGTGCATTAAGGAACAGATGCTTGTTTAATAAGAGTGACATGTACTTGTAAAAGACATACAATTGAGCTTCATAAGATTTCTAAAGACGGAGAAGTCAACACAACATCAATAAGAAGGAAAAACACACCTGACCAACTTGACTCATGAAATCCTTTATGAAGGGACGCGTTCCTACACCAGTTGACCAGAGTGCCATTCCATAAGGCACGGTCGAAACTTCCCCTCCATTTTTCAATTCTTTGGTAAAGATTTCTTTTTCAGTTACTTTCACAACCATGGATCCTGTTTTCACATTAATACCATCTCTTTGAAATTTTTCTTCAGCAAAAGCTGTGATTCTTTTATCAAACCTGCAAAAACATGAAAAAACTTCAGTGATCACAAAGAAATAACTGCACACATGCATTTCAGTCAGATTATAATAAAACTGCTAAAGCATATCAATGCATGCTTATCGTAGGGTAATGCTAGATTAAACAACAAAATACTATTTCGAAACATATAACAAAGGTTTATATGTGAGAGATTATTTACTAACATATTCAGAATATGATCTCCAGCCTCGAGAAGTGTTATTTTAACTAGATCTTTGACCCCGGGATACAATTTGACTAAATCCTCGTTGACGAAATCATGAAGTGCTGCAGCAAACTCCACACCAGTTGGGCCACCACCAACAACAGCAAAATGAAGAATTCTCTTCTTCTCCTCATCGCTAACAGTTGGAAGGCTTGCCCTTTCGAAGCAGTCAATAACAGTTCTTCGGATCTTTTGAGCATCTTCTACTTCCTGCGTGAAGAAGTAAATTTCACGAGGTGAATAAAACAACAAAGAAGCATACATCAATTAATCCTATAACCAAAAAGCTTTATTCACTTTCTTCGTCCTACTGGGAGTAGCTGATCTGAGGATCTTGATTTCACAAGAGAAAACTTACAGGAACATATTGATACATAAATGTACAAGGTTTACAAAGAAGTTACCTTCAAGAAATGGCAGTTCTCAACGACACCAGGAGTATTGAATGTATTAACATTGGCTCCCACAGCTACTATAAGGTAGTCATAATCCACAACGAACTCTTCTTGTCCATTCAAATTGTTTTCGACATTAGATCGGCAATAGATTTTCTGGTTTACTGCATCGATCTTGAGACATGCAGCTTCACTGAATTGAACATCTACAGTTTTCTGTACCCCAAAAAAAATCATTGTCAATTTATTGAACACCAACAGTTAGAGAGAGTGATACAATTATTATCCAACCATTACCTTTCTAGCAATGTTTCGAATTGGTTCAACAATGCTGCGAGCTTCCACTGTACCACAGGTAACACTTGGTAGCAGAGGGGTGAAGGCAAAGTAATTCCGAGGTGATATGACATGAACCTCATAATCTGGATTTTTCAGATTCCTTAAGAAACTTGTTCCAGCCCAGCCAGTTCCAAGTACCACAACCTTCTTTTTCTTATTGTCCACTTCAGCTGAAGTTAGGACAGGCGCGCTGCTGGCCAGCTTTCGCTCAGGGTTTGCCTCAGCGTAAGCCACAAGGCCGCAACCACTGCATTTTGAACCAACAGCCATGAGACAAAACCATCATATAATCATGTGAGCATACCAATAACAAAAATGCAGTTTCTCGACCTCTGAAGGGTTAGCAGCACGAGCATATTTTTTTTTGGTTACTTTTTGATCTTACAGTTTATCTACAAATAAGCATTGAAAGCACAAATTTTCTTTTTCTTAATAGGAAATGGCCACGTCTTTGTTTCTTCACTACTTTTGGGCATAATTTACACTACACAAACATAATTTATTGGTATGCTAATATAGTTTCGCCATGATTATATAGGCAAATGATATGAATCTGCGCATGGTGATTCTGCTCATAGCAATCCAATTTCCTAAAATTTCGCCTTTCCTATACAATTTTCTATATGTATGAAATAAGTGCAAGAGATCTGATTGACTCCAGAGACTGCCAACAAAATCGGAACGAAAAAAAAAAAAAGGCAGAGCGCATATTTTTTCACTACGGAATAAAACAGAGCATATATTTTTCAGCATGGTGTAAAACAGAGAACATATTTTTTAGCAAGGAAACGCAATCGAATGGAGTAATACAGCAATACTATAGCTTCTAATAAAAGTATACGCCAAACTGAACGATTTAAACATATAAGAAAATTAAAATTCTGTCCATATTCTACTGCAATACTTAATATTAGAAATCGCCCAAAAAAATACTAATATTATAAGTAAATATTTGTACAAGACAAATATGTAGAACTGAACAAACGCATAGGAAACCAGAGCAAACGCGTAGAAGATGAAATAGATGATAGACAGAGAAAGTGAATATACCTGACGGCGACGACGACGAGCACTTTGGGAACCGAAGGATAGTCATGGAAAGCTCTAGAAACTCTATCGAAGAAAGCGAAACCTCTCATTTTTCACTGCTTTCAAGCTTTTCGGCACTCAGATCTACAGCCGAAAAGGCACAAAACAGAGAGAAGCAGAGGGAAGAAGAAGAGGGAAGTTACAGAGGAAAAAACAGAGAGAGAGAGAGAGAGAGAGAGAGAGAGAGAGAGACGCGGCTTTGCCTATAATGTAGGAATGTGTGAAAAAGAAGCTTCAAATATATATGTGTCAAAAGAATCCGGAGAGGTTGGAGAACGTGATGCGTGTGTGTTTGGGAGGTTTCCAGATTTGCTCTCGAGCGCCGACTTGGAGCGCAAGGCAAAACCTTAGCACGTGTAAGGCGGACGCGAAGCGAATCGCTTTCTTTGTAAGGGTTTTGACACGTCCGCCCTGGTGGGCCCCACTGATGGGCTGGACGCTGAAGAGGCTCCGTGATCAAATTGATGCACAGAGCAATTCACGCCTCTTTCTTATTTTGTAATTTTTATAAAAAGAAATATATGAATTAGGTCAAGGAAAGAAAAAGGCACGTCGACATCATCACATGCCACATGGCTTTCCGCCAAGCGAAAGTACACCTTAGCTGTATTTGAGAGCATATGCACCCCAGAATTACCGGAATACACCAAATCTTTTATTATTATTTTTTTTTTTTATACAGACATTAAATTTAAACCTCAACTTTTATTATTTTATTATTTTATGATTTTGTGGCCTTTATTAGACTAAATCTCGAGGTTAGACGAAAAGACATTTTGACCAATTTTCTGAAACATGCTTTTCACTTTCCAAGATGTCTGCATTTGACTTTTACACCTCATAATATGTTAGATTCTGTAACGTTTTTTTATTTCTTTTCTTTTTGAATGCTGGGCACAAGAAATACCAGCTTTGTATTCATTTCTTTAGAAATCTAATACTTCGACGTATACGTATTTTTTAGGACACTCTTTTTGTTGAGTACACATGGCAGCTGTCATATTGAAAGACGGAGATTGATGAGAGGTATAAGCAAAATTACGATGATGGGGTTAGAAGCGTGTCAAATTACAATGAAGTTTCAAAGTTTGTTGCTTGCTGCTACTGGTTGGTCATTGGTCAACCCACGCATCATGTTCAATTACTCCAACAGTTGGTGGGATGAAATTTGCATGTGATATATAATATTCTTTGCATATACCCCTACAGGTCAAAAGCATGAAGAATCGCATTCTCCATGCTGAACCAAATAAGCTGCCCAACTCCATTTCGTTTGAATTGGATTGGAATTGATTCCAATCAACTTGTATGAATCTTAACTTGCAATACACAATATATTGGATTGTTCTATAATTTAATGAGTTCAGTCTCTTCCATTTTTTATAAGTTTACCAAACATCAACTAGAACATTAGTCCAATATAATTGAAATAATCCAGTACAAGTCGAGTTACAAAACAAGTTTGACATAAGTTGTTCTTTTTTATTTTATTTGACAGTTAGCAACAAATGTCATCGCTTCCTCATTCATTCTATTTCCTTTGGGAATTTGACTGAAACTAATGGAGATGTAAATCAAATTCATAGGTTTTTTTAAGAGTAATACTCTTACCACATTTGTATATCACATTCTCATACCATCTTATGTGGTAGATGAGGTGTACAATCATATTAATTAAAACCAATTTAATATTTTCTTTTCTTTTATGATTTATTGACACTTTTTAATTGACGTGGTTGTACACGGTGATTGGGCTTGGGTTTAGGTATCTCTTAATCTTTGAATCAGACTAACCAATTTGATCAAACGGTTAAGAAATATGACTTTACCTAAGTGTCATAAATAATGCCCTCACTATAGAATTCTTGAACAAAATTGATCTAGAAACTAAACCAAGGGCCGTCCAAAGCCCAATTTCTATATAAAGAGCCCAAATGGATCGGGCTGATGCAAACAGTTTAAGCTGAGTTTTGGTGATAAATAATAAGAATGCCTAGAATTTATAACACCAACATTTCTTCCCAGAAAATGCATGATAATTCACATTGATGAGAACCAATAAGTAAGGCTTTGGTTCTTGATTTGAGCCTTTGACGAGGCCACAAACATCTAAAATTGGGATCACTATCTTGATGTGAGATTGTCCCCAACCCTCCTTCTGTGCATGCATGATGCATCAAATCTCCAACAATTCCAAAATGCCAATGTTCATGTACACGACTTTGTTGCCTCCTCCTCATCCTCCTCCTCCTCCGCCACCTCCTTATCAAAGGTGCACTTCGGACCAAACGTTGAAAATTCCACCACCACCACATTAGCCTCCACGTGTCTCTCAAACCTTATCAAGGTGACAACTAGTCATTGGTCTAATCCAAAATAAAATGTATAGGGGCATATTAGGCATTCCAAATCAAACATTTAAAAAAAATTAAGCGATAGTAACCAATCAAACATTTAAACCTCTGGATTAGTGATTAATATGTACTTGAAACTTGGTATAATACAACGGTAAACCATTAAGCAAACATCTCGACTCAACACCCCAAAACACTCAAATTTTCACAATCTCCGAAAAACACAATCCATCTTGTATTAATACATTAATTCCATTATTAACCCTAACATTAGCTGAACCTAACCTCGCCGGGAGACAGCCATTTCTTGCCGCAATATTCATTGTTTCTCGTCGGAGATATATCAATCTCTATCAAATTATCTTCCTCGTGATCAACTTGAAAATCCATGCCTCTCTTTGAATTTTCCTCCAAAGCAATCTCTATCAACCCTTCTCTGTCTTCCTCTTCCCACCTGAAGCACATGCTCTCCGGTGAGTTCCAAACTCCGGTCACCGAATACCCGCCGTCCGATGAGCTATCCGAGTCCGACTCCGGGTAATACATAGACAACGAAGGGTACCTTTCAAGACCCTGAGCTTGGCTTTCTTGCTCTTGTTTCGAATTCGGGTCATTTCCATTACGATCCATCTCATCTTCTTCACGTTCATTCTCTTCATATATGACCTCTAATGGCGCCTTCAGGTTCCACTCGACGAAAAAGTCTTCAAAACGGGGGTTCGGATCAAAACCCATTTCGCTTTCGGAGTCCGTTTCGGATTGGTAGGTGAAAAAGCTGTGATCTTGAGCTTCTGGTGAAGTTGGGATTTGTTCTTGGACTTCGGTTCTTTGAGTGGAGGTGCTCGTGCTTCCCCTGTTTTCTTTGTTTTCCTCATTGCATTCTTTGCTCTCGTTGGTTTTGGTACACTCTGTTTCGAGCAGGCAAGAATTGTCTTCCTTTTCTCTGTGTTCATCGCCTTCAAATCTTTGAACAGCACCAAGTCGTAGAATTGTGAGTAAGAGAATTCCTGTTATGATCGGCACTGGTGAGAAAACAATTCTGATGAAATGGTACGGGAAATAGAGGAGGATCAGAGCGTAGAGAGTGACAATGCTTGAAAACAGAGGACTTGAGGAAACAGAAGCACAAAAGCTGATCATGGTTTCAGTGAATACCAAGTCGGAAATGGAATTCAATTGGCACATCATAAGACTCGCATCTTCTTCCTGAAAGTTACAAACTTTCTCAAGAGAAAGCGACGAGTAGAGGACGGAATGGTCCAAATCCCATTAAGTAGTGGGAGAGGAAAAAGAGGGAAAAAGAGCCAAGCTTGGATATGGGGGTAAAAGAAGGCGCAGGAGGAGAGCGATGGATAACGAGGAGGTGGGGTTATTAGAAGAAGGATTGGGTTGTGGGGTTTACAAGCCTTTTTAAGTTTTTATACAGGCGACTGTTTAAATTACATTAAATTAATTAACGTACGAGAAAATGCCGACACGGAATATTACTATTGAGAGTAGGAGGGGAGAGGAGGGGAGGGGTAGTGGTGGGTGGGTGCCATCTGCCATGGTTGTGTGCTCCCTCTGTCTGTGATATGCATTTACCAAGGTGACCTTTGTCCCATGAAATCTACAGTAAATATCAACCTTAAAAGATGTTTGCTTTTTTAATTATGTTCATTCATGAATTTAATCTGTCACATTCACTTAATAATCCCATCTCAGAAAGCAAGCAGGACCCAAAAAGGTCCAATCATCGGAAACGTCAACCAGCCCTCATTCGGAGGTTCTTTGGTTTTCCATGTTAACTTTTAATTGTTCTTGTCATTTACTTTAATTTAAAACCAAGTAATCAACTAAATATTCAAAACCAAGTAATTGGATATGGGCATATCAACAAGCATGCGATGCGTTCTTAGCTGCCAAGAAGCAAGCAGAAGCAACCTAAATTTAACTACTCACTAACTCATATTGTCGGTTTATCTATCCTCTTGTCACTTATCAAATGAAGAGAGAGAGATATAAAGAAAGGGCAAGCGCAATGGGGTTAGGGAAGTATTTCTGTGGTTAAGAGGGTGAGTGACATCAAAGTCATATGGTATGAGAATGGCATTCCACTTTGCTCACCATGCACATGCTAGTAAAGGCTATGGTATACCAACAATGGCTTTTCAGTGCCGAAAAAAGAAGAGGGCAACTACAAATAAAAAGTGGAGGTTTCTTTTTCGCTTTTTATGACATCGGTGTTGGGTTTGAATATTGAACTGAAAAGGATAGATAGAACTCTCTCTCTCTCTCTCTCTCTCTCTCTCTCTCTCCATATATATATATATATATATATATATAATCAGTCAATTATAAACAGGCCTCTCTGGACTCTGGGCTCTACCACTAAATCCTTAGCTTGACTTTCAAGAAAATAATGCAGAGTAGTTATGATTGGACTGGATGTGAAACAAGAAGAAATATCAACCAAAGCCAAAGGTTGCTACTCTGTTTGCATTTAGGCATGTATGGGTTAATGCAGATACATGATATAAATAAATGAAATGAAGGAATTCATTGAGCGATTATAATCATTCAGACTCAGAGACCTAGAGAGAGAAAGAGGACGAAACAATATTCATTTTCCATTCCATTTCCAAACAACGCTTTGAATTTTAGCTAGCACACTCCCAAAAAATTCCTAGTTCCGCCCTTGCTTTGAAGGCTTCTATTCTTCTACTGGTATGGTATGAAACGGAAAATGAAACGACAGTGGAGCTGCTTCTAGACAGGAAACCATGCTATAAAGGCAAAATTGATGTGCGTTGTTAGTTGTGGCAGACAACGAATCTAACATGGTTTGGGACCCTTCAATGTCAACACACCAAGCGACCTCGTCAGCTATGGCCGGTCCCTAAACTGTTGTCTAATGCATGTGCTGTATTGCTTAACCCTAAAGTCATCACTCATCACCATGTGAAAACTGAAAGCTCAAATCGTTATCCGAGCGCAGATTTACATGCTGGGATAAATTATCAGGAAAACAAGTGTCAAAACAAGCAGAGTCCTTCAATTAGCTAATTTCCCACCGCAAGCATGCAACGTAACTACAATGTTATAACATGATTGTATGATTAACTGCTAATGAACATAAGTGTCATTGATCATTCAGTCAGAAAATAATGGCACTAGGTGAAGAACCAAAGTGCTGTCATATACAAACCAGACTAGAATAGATACAGCTAGTTCAAGTCCCGCACTCCCTCCCTCTCCCTTCAAATATTAATAGGATTTCATTCATATATCCGAAAACCAAAAAACGATCAAAGAAAGGAGAGCTGGTCCTATCATCCTACGCAACGATGGAAGATCAAGCTTACAAGAGGCAGCAGTTCATGAAACCTGATCTATCTTCCAGTTCTTCCCCTTTCATGAATAATCCAACTTGGGGGGTAGCCTATGGCATCAAAAAAGGACCGTCAAATCTGTACAGAGATCAGTAGTACCTCGGACCAGGTTGGGGATAGCCTCCAGGATATGCAGTGTTAACAGGAGAATTTCCATATGGAAGTCTAGGAGCTGGAGTTCCAAAAGGTAAGCCTGAACCGTATCCAATTAAACAATAAGCATAGTATAAATCTTCTAAAGATACATGTAATGATAATTTATAATGAAGCTACCTCCATATGCAGGTGGGGAAGGACTGGGAAGAAATGTGGGTGCTCTTGGATCCTGAGGAACTGCAGCTCTCGGATATCCAGGATTATTGCCTGTGAATGAAGTCATTGCACTTCCTACCAGCGAGGGTACAATCGTACAACTACTGTAGGGGTTAGTGGCAGCATCAAAAGTGGTACTATTGCGTTCGATATTTTGCCTGCTGTGGGGTTCACCTGGCCCATAACTCTGGTAAGGATCTGTAACACCACCGCAACTGCCAAAGTAGCCAGAATAAGATCCATAAGGAGTAACAGCCCCAGGTACAGGCCGAGGAGGCAGCAGAGGAGGCATAGTAAATCGCTGCACAGGACTTTCCCCATAATTTGGTGAAAAGTTAGGAACATAGCTTCCAACAGAATACGGTGAAGAGGGCTGCACAGGACTTTCCCCATAATTCGGTGAAATTAAAAAACCAGGGCCAACAGAATATCGTGAAGAGTTATTCGAGTTCTTCCAATCAGATTTACATGCAAGTGACTGCTTCATGTCATCCAAATATCTCTGTGACTCTTCTCTGTTGAGTTCTACAAACATAACCTTATAGAAGAAAACAAGAATTAGCCACAAACATAAAAAGTGCAATAACAGTATCCTGTGTGTGAATAGTTTACCTGATCAAAAAACTCATCTGAACCAGGCATATCCTTGCTGACAGGTAAAATAAAATTGGCTGCCAAAAACATTATACGGGTCTCAGTACAAACACAGACATAAATATTAGACTAACAAAATTGGTGAAGGCACACCATTACCTAACATATTATTTACTGCATCAGCAGGTACTTCCTTTCCCATTTCTTTCGCTCTTTTCTTAGAACGAACATTTAGCTCTTCGGGGCTTGGAAACACCACAACAGCAATCTGAAATAGAAAATTATCCATATAGATTAAGCAAGCTGTATACAAATCTTGCCATATAAATTCATCATGGACGGGTAGCAACCTTTCGGAAGAGAGCAAATGGTTTAAGTTTACGGTTACGAGCACTCTTGTACACATTTGTCTGATCAATAATGTAATTACGAGGTGTGGTGGCTGCTCTGGATAAAATGATGTTAAAAATTTCAGTTGCTCGATTCATCAGACAATCAAACCGTTCCCCATAATTGTTCCTACGCAAAAGCCCTGGCACCTGCACACAGTTTCACATTCTGCAATGAAATACTGATCGATAAAACAAACACCAGTAGAAGCTATAGCAGGTACATTAGAATGGTGATAATGGAACAAAACAAAGAAAATAAAACAATCATACCCCACCTTCATTTGATCGAGAACTAAATTTGTTCCAAGCAAAACATAACGCTTCTCAGGGTGCTCTTTCACCCAATTTTCGGCCCAAGTTGTTTTGCCAGACGCAGGCAAACCTACCATCATAACCACCTCACAGTCCCTCGGGTCAGAAAAAAGGGGTCCAATAACTGCATTTCCATCCTCCAGTGCAGACGCCCAAGGCTTGAAACCCTCTTCAGCAACAAGGCCATCTTCAACACTGAACTGCAACTCCACCACCACATTTTTCAACAAAACATGTGGGAAAACCGCTGATTGCCATGGCATCTTCCTCTCCGGAGAATCCGCCACTGAAAGACCCAAAGCAGAAACATCAAAGTACGTTGCTCTACCCAACCATTTTCCATTCTTGGAGAAACCGATGGAAGCCATAGATTTATCTTCAAGATTGACAGAACAAACAATGGTATCGCCGAGCCCAAACTTCTCACCATAATCCGAAAACTTACCACCATGTGAGAATGTTCCTGTGCCCCCATACCCAAAGCTGTACGCTGTTTCCCCAAGGTTTCCAACTGCTTCGTCCCCTCGAGAAATTCCAAGGCGGCACAGATTCTGTCGATCAGGAGCAGTGTCCTCCATATCAACAGACTGCAAAGATACGACCGTGCAACCAAAACAGTACTTCCCTCCAGCTATACCCACATTCGCTCGAGCGCCAGACCAGCAGTAAGCAAAGCCCTGATCGTGAAGTGCATATCCTTTAAGCTCATCGCCTTCGATTATAAAATCTTAACGCAAGAAAACAATTCACATCATCAATCACAGAAAACATTGGTTTCAGGGTTTAGGGTTTCACGCAACATTCACTAAATTCGAAATAAGAACCAGGAAATTCAAGTACCTAGGGCACAATCGGCACGATTGAGAGCCACGCGTTGCTTCCGGCTCGATTCTGAACAAGACGAGAAAGACGGCACGTCATCGTCGACCTTGGTCTTCTTGGAGGCCTCCTGATGTTCGTCTTCACTGGGAGCTTCGCGTTTCGTTGAAGCCATTAGAAAGAGAAAACTATAAGCAGATGCAAAGAGAGATAAAACGCGCGAAATGTAATGGTCAAGTGTTCATGAACTTATGATCATGAGATTATTGGCTAAAGACATTGGTACTTATATGGAATTATATAAGGTGGTGGAAATTCAGGGGCCTAGATTTTCAACCGACTTTTGAATTTGGGTTGGGTTCATATTTGGACTTTGTTTGTGTTCCGGACTGCATATTGTATTTGGGCCTTGCATTCATAAGAATCAAATTTTATTTGACCCAAAATAAATCAAATTTTAAATATTATACTTCCCTCCTTCCTTCCTCTTATCTATTTTGCCCCTTATCTTTTTCGGGGCAAGGGTTTTTATTTCAAATTTCATAAACAACAGTTATGATAGAAAAATAATAACAAACTAAAAATGTAAAGAAATGGACTCTCTTTTTATCTTTTTAATCGAAAATAAACGAGTACTTAATTGTTCATACTCATCGTTTTACCCAATTTTCATATCTAAAAAATCACATTTGTTAAACGAAAAATTTCATTCAATTAGCCAAAAAACTATTTCCTTTTGAAAATGCAGAAAAGAGGACAACAGTTGGAGACAAGCAGACAATCAATACTGCTATATTTTGGCCATGCTAAGGGAAAATGTAAACTGTATTTAATACTAGATATTTAACGCAAAGCGTTATGGAATTAGATTGGAATTCCAAATGTAACCACTTGAGCACCTAAAGTTTAGGCATTCAAACCAGCCCTGCTTTCTAAATATAAGGAAAGACATTTGCAGGAGGATTTTAATTTGAACAGCTAAAATTTAGGCAATCTACTCTTGAACTAAGTTAGCAAGTGAAGAAACATAAACCCACCAATTGCTCAAAATAAAGATCTTTAATTGATTCTGTCCCCATTCCCAAATTTTGCTCATACTGTCATTAAATTTTGCTCATTCAATCCAATGCACAAAATCTCCCAATTGTGCAGAAAAACCCTAAAAATTTGTGCATCTTCATAACCCTAAAGTGATGATTCATCAAATCTAAGGAAAATCATAGAACAAAAAGGAAAAACAGAGAAAACACACGGAACAAATTGCATGGAAAGATCATTCATTTCATTAAAATCTAATGCTTTTGTACATTCTTCATTTTATTGTCAGAACCAAAGGGCACAAGATTAGCCCTTAACAAACTTGTGAATAGTGGAAATCTCTCTCTTTCTCCTCCTCTTCAAAACATGTACAAAAAGAGACGAACAAGCAATTATATCATCTTCAATGATAGCTTTGAAGAAACCGCTTGCAACCCTTTTCTCTATATGTTCACTCCAATGTCATCTCTATCTCTTTAGACCAGCCGAAAACTACGACCATCACAGCCATGAATTTGTGTATTTACAAAACCCACATTGCAGATTCATCTACTCCTCGTCCCATGAAGCAAACAAGTTCACTGATATCTCAGCAAGCTTCTTGCGGCTCGGCAACTGCCTATGCTGCTCCCTCCACTGTTTCGGAGCATTCGGAGCTTCAATCTCATCCATATCGTCGCTTGAGAAATCAATGGCGGTCCGGAAAGCAGGGGTCTTTGAAGGTGTGCTATAGGCAAAATGCCACTGCTTAGCAATCAGAGTCTGCAATCACAGAAAGGGAAAATTAAAATCAATGCCAATCGCTTAAACAAACAAAAAATCAATTAATTAGTTAAGTAAATTAAACTAAACTCACCGCTTCTCTAATAGGTTTTGATACGTGGAAAAGCTGTTTCAAATCCTCATGATGAACGCCACACACAATCTTAATCTGCAATGGACAAAAACGAACATACATATTTAATTCCCGATTGATCACAAATTCAATAAAAACAGATTCAGAATTCTGCATATGCATTTATCGATTTCAAGCAGAGCTCGAGAATTTGGGACTAACCAGAATCTCCTGAGGCAGAGCTTCTAGGGCAGAGGTTTCAGAATCCGAAACCAATTTCCCACTTCGCTGCTTCTTCAATGGAGTGCTGGGATACGAATCAGTAGGCGAAGGCTCGCCATTGTTAGAAATCCCAATCCTCTTCCTCCCCAAAGCTCGCGTGTACTTGACAAACCCTAACTCCAGCCCCTCCTCTGCCACCAAACCCCCGCGCTTCGATTTCAAGCAACTCTTGCATTTCTTTCCCAAAGCCATCTTCTCCAATCACCAATTACCAAATCTTCAATCCCTATCCAAAACAAAATCACAAGCAAAGATCGAATCAATTAATAACCCACGAAAAGAAAATCTATTGGTAACAGATTATGAAACTTCTGAAATCTAAAGAAGAATCCAAAACCAAAGAGAGTAGGAAACCTTGTGTTGGATTAACCCTAGATTTGAGCCTCTCTGAGAGTATATAGGTCTATAAATCTTGTGTATCTCTCTCTCTCTCTCTGTGTTTTACCGTGGAAATGGAAACAAAGAATCGACTGAGCAGTTGGGTTTGCTTGGGTTTATATATCGAACGAAAAGATAGTTTCTTTCTTTTTTGAAAACAGTGAAAATGGTAAAATCTACGCGCTTTACGGAATCTCCTCGAATTTTCTATGGAAAAATCTTTGCGTTTCCTTTAATTTATCCCCTCGGCGGTTAAAAAAACGAAATAAAAAAAGGAGGGAGGCAAACTAGCCGTTTGAGTGGGACACGTGGCGGGATGAGATAGCACGTAGGAAGCTGCACGTGTGCTGCGGGGGGGAACGACGTGGCGGTATGGTCGGTCCGAGTCGGCTGTGTCGGTAGCTTACTCAACACGATGCGTACGTGTTAAAGAGTCCAACGACGTCTGCTTGGGGTTCTAATAAAGGGCCGGTCAGCTCACAGTCGAGTTTCATTGACTCCTTATTATGACGACACGTGTAGATGTGATGGAATTGGACGGTGAGCATTTGATGTAGTTTCACTTTACGACGGCTAGTGGGCCTTGTTTGACTGAAGATTCTAGATTGGTGGCTGACGGCTGTTGCATTAGCAGCAGCCAATATAAACTACACGTCAAAACCATGTAACGCGTTTATATGGGTGGGCTCTCGAGAAAGCATGTCTGTGACGGTGAGTGAAACATTGTTTTTAAATTAATTTCTTCTTTTTAGCTAAATTCTATTTGGTAAAATTGGAATTTCAAAAATCAAACTTATAATTATCTGTAAGAAAACGTGCGCAATTTTTTAATTATAAAAAATTTGATTATCCCCTTAAATTATCAATTTGTTTTCTTAATTGGGGGAATTTAGATTGATTGGGCCATGGATCGATTTTAAAACATCATGTGATTATCTAAAATAACTACAGCATTGCAATCATAGTGCAGTGAAGAGTAGTTGAGTTAGAAGCAACTAGCAAGATTTGAGGAGGCCAAATTATTTATTTTGAACTTTTTTGGGGGGAATTTTGGGTTGTCTTTACAAAGGGCTACTGGGTACTTGAACTTCCCTTAGCCCAAGTTGGCAAAGGTGATGGCTGAGGACCTTGCTGTTATGGCCCATCTTTAGGGCTGTTTTGCTATGAGTTTGTTTTGGGCCTTTGGTCTTCTTTGTAAGATGCTTGTGTTGTAGAGTCATTCTATAGATCTAAGGTCCTTAAATAAGGTTCTATCTTTTAGCATATGGAATCTATCATTACATGACGTGTGATATGCCCAATTTGATCTTGCTCTAAAAAGATTAATAACTAGATCGCATTAGTTCCATAATAAGTAGTTAAGCTATAAAGTTTCGAAGTAGTAATTAACGCGCGCATAGGTATTATTTGAATTTATTGTTTTACCATGTAACTCATAATTGAACTAAGAAGTATTTTCGGTTACAAAATCTTCGTATGAACTAGCACCGAGAATCTAGGGCCAAGAATTTATCACGTACCATATCACGTATGTGCATGATATACGATCTCACTCTATATATTTTACGTGCAAAACACATGCATCATGGAGTGACTTTTCAATCCATACATATAAAGAATTTTTTTTGTTTACAAGCATTAGTCAATAAACTATATGAGTTAGAGCAAAGTACATATATGACCCATAAGATATGCTCAATAACACCAAGCCAGAGTATATTTTATATAATAATGGTTCATCTTTTTTATAAGTAATATATAAACATGTAGAGTACATGATCACATATAAACAGCATAAAACATTTTGACACAAGAAATAGGGTCAAATTGCTGTATATATATTGGAATGACTTTGGATATCATAGATTCTTATGCATCTAATCAAGTATATGGAAACCATTATATTTGTTTTTGTACTGTATGTGGTACATGAATATATAGACTGAAAAATGGAGTGACTAATTATCAAAATCAATTTCTTGGCGCGAAAAAAAGAAGATCGAAATCGATTTCAGGAAGTGTTCATGTCGTATGGGAGGTTATTGATGTATGAAGTTAAGAGAGAATTAAGAATTTAACAATATGGAGGAAATGAAATGAGAAACATTAAATTTAAATGAGGATTTCAACTGAATTCCAAAGACAATCTTAAGTTAATAATTTGCAATGAAATTGATACATAAAACCATCTTAAAGAAATTAGTACCAACTCCTCGATTGTTTCGGATAAACAAAGCTTTTGTCCTCCCAAGCAAAACCAATAGATATTTCTGCGTCGGGAGATAATTTCCAAGAGAGAAAAGCATCGGTGAAAAAGTCCATATCCTGACGCAGAGCCCTACTGAAACGGAAACTCTTGGGGAGAAGAAGAAACATGTATTCCAATGACATGGCTTTCCCCAAAAGAAACCTCGTCAAATCGAGGTGACAAGGTTGGAACCTAAAACCCATAATTTTGATGAGCTTTAGGTGTTTGAACAAGGCCGAGTGTTTGTTCAGTAATGGCTTTTGATGCAGTTCATAGAAAGCTCCGCCATCAAAAGTAAACTCATCCGCCTGCAGTAACATCATCATTACAAATAATTTGTTCATAAAGATCAGATATATATAGATAATCTGTTCATAATTTATACTCACATCGATAAATAATTTCTCGAGGTGTGGACAATTTTTGAGAAATGAAGCAATGTCGCCAGCATTGCAATAGCTAGGATTCTCCATTATCAACTGGAGCTCCTTCAAATTGCGAAAGCTCACCTGTTTTTCTCTCAAAACCCCGTCAACAATTCGCGGAGACAAACCCTAACTCACATAAAAACAGATTATAAGAACACATTAACACTGAATTAAAGTAATCAATTAATAAATCAAGGAGACTAACCTCAAGAAATGTACTTGTAATGGTGAGAAGCTCGACATTATTCGAGATAGTAGAAGCAAGTCTTTCAACTTGCAAAGGGTTTGTGATCCCTTTCAGGGGCTTGAAATAGAGCATGGCCTCTTTCAAAAACAGCAAAGATTGAGAAATTACGCGGAAATTACTAATATTTCCATTATAATAAAGAGATCCAACACTCGGGGCATCAATCTCAATAACCCGAACCTCCGCCCGACAATTTCCCACCTTCAAAACCCTCAACCTCGTTTGCTTCTGAGCGTGGATTCTCAGAAGCCGAAACCCGTGACACCGTTCCATGTCAAGGGTTTCGAGTAGGGCGCACCGGTCAAGTATAGTTTGGATGATCATCGGGGTTATGTCAACTCTCCGGAGAACGAGAGTTGTGAGCAAGGACAGGCCTTTGAGTTCTGGTGGGAGCTGAAAGACCGAGTACGAGAGCTTCAAGACTTTCAGGCTCTCCACGTCGAGGAAGTGCGGAGGGAGAAGGAAAGAAGGGTCCTGTTTGGGTTGGGAGATGTCGAGATCCAGCTCCTGGACCCGTTTCTGGATGCATTTTCTTACCCATTCCGGCAAGTGAAGCTCGTGGGCATTGGGATCGAAGTGGAGCCGGAAGCTTTTGATCTCGTCACCCGTATGGGATTCGAAAACATGGTTCAGTATTGTCTCCAACTTGTCGTTGTCGTACCCTTCGGCAAGCTCTTTCTCGAAATGGATCCTGCGCGCGAGACGCCAGGAGTCTCTGAATCTTCTGGCCACGAGGCCGGCTTTGACAGCGGCTTTTATGGGGAGAAGGGTGAAGATGTACTCAATAAGGTCGTCTGTCAGCTGGACAGAACGGCTACGCGACGAGCCGCGGCTGGAGCTGGATCCAACGACAGGACGGAGGAACGTCCTTAGTTGTTTCAGCGGCGGCCCGTAGACGACTTTCCGTGTGTCTCTTCTGGTCTTGTTTACTGGGAACATTATTGTTTGGTGAGCGAGAAGCTAGCAGCTAGAAGAGTGAAAAGGAAAGAAAAACTGGAATTAATTTTTCTTTGAGTGAGGAGGAAGAGAAAGCCAGTGTGTGGAAATCTCTGGTGGAGGCTGAGTTATTATAGGGGAAGAGGGTTTGGGTGGCTCTAAGGCTTGAGAGCGTGTCTCCATTGTTTTTTAGTATGTAAGTAAATGAATGAGGAAAAATCAGCTTCCGCTGGTTTTGCCTTTTCTGGCTTTCTCAGGAGCATTGACATGAAATGAACCAAAGAACGGCTAAAAATAGGTCAGGCGAAATTGCTGACGTGGCGGGACCTCCAGCTTATGACCATACGTTAACTTATTGGGTTTTTGGCTGTTGTTGGTGGGTCCCACTGTTAGTGATGAAAAGTCTTGTTTGGCCTTTGTTTTGAGTAGGTGGATTTTTATAGAGAGCTTTAATGGCTTTTTCTCAAAACTAATCTAGGTGCTTAAGCATGGATGGCAAGCTAGTGCAGTCTTACTCATTTTGGAATCAACCCAGGACATTTTTATTTATGCCAAAATGCTATTTTTGTCATTGAAGAAGAATGTAAACGTTTATTCGTTTAGATTTCTAATTATGAAAAGCACATCCTCTTAGGACCCGGTAGGAAATAACCTTTGAAATGGTTTTGAATTTACTCATTTTGGTATTCTTTTTAAGAATTTAATCCCTAACTAAATATTTAATCTCCTATGAAAATATTGTTAACCTTTCCAACTTGAAGTCATGGCCTTTAAATTGCAAATTTAATTTCATTATCATGGGCTCGTTTAAAGGTCAATGTGCAACAAATACGACTTGTCGTTGCATCGTCTTATAAAAAAGTTTAGTAATATAATAATGATAAATGTGTATCTGTATAGTCATATGTGACACTTATTAATATAGATGGACTTTATGAGAGACGTGATTGGAAAATTTGATATAAATAGTTTTATCTTGTTAGTCACTGCAAGTTAGATGTTAAGTTTGTAAGTCGATAAATAATTAGATTAAAAGTCATTAGTAACTATTTAAAGGAAAATTTACCATAAAAATATTATTATCACTAAGTATATCAACTATTAATTTTCTTTTAAAATGTGTTCTTAAAAAATGATTGGTCAGATTTACATTTACGTAGTTTTTGAATTTTTGGACCACTCAGAAAAGGGCAAAACAAAAACAAAAACACGATTAGCATAAAAATTAGTTCAGTCAGCAGAAGCTTCGAAGTCGAAATGTACGATACACCCATCAAAATTGAGCTCAAACAATTGTGTTTTACATATAGGTGCATGAAGACATTTCCTATTTGACTGATCTTGTTTGCAACCTTGTAATACAATTAATGTACAACAATTAGGCAAATGATGCACAGGCCAAGCTGTAAATGTAACCGAAGCTCATAGGGATTATCGAGTGCACACTTCGTTGGACAGAAGCTATTGTAATATGACTAGGGATCTCGGTGCAGGTTATGGCTGTTATGATCATCACCGTCAATGTTAACATCATTCTCCACCACTGAAGCAACAGAGAAACTCCACACAGAAGCACTGTTTTCTTCACCTGCATAACCCAGGACAATTAACCTCCTATTAGTACAATGACCTTTTGCTATGTTATGCAAGTTAAAAAGTTGGGCAGCTAAGATTAAAACTCAGACAGGTTTCATGTTTCATGTTTCTTATGAACCTTATCATGTATCTTGTTATTTAAAGAGCCTGGGAAGTAAGATAGAGGGATAACCTAACACACTTTCTGATTCTTCGTTCGTGGTTATCAACACCACAACAAGTATAATAGTACAGGGCACGCGAGTGGTATTTCGTAAATTACAACACTCCACCCACAAATTCATCTAAAAGTCTTTGCAAAGCAGGCATGTAAGAAACTGAATTAAGCTCAAAGAACAGTCCTATCAGCCTCTTACTACCTTTTCGATCCGAATAATAAAAACTAACTCCTAAGGAATGACCAGATCATGCACCCATAATCATGATTGAGATTGGGAAAGAAAAAAAAGGTTTGTGAAAATGACACACACAAAAAAACACGATTAGCATAGGAGACTACAGTTAGAAGAAGGATATACAACGTAATTAATTGAAAATATCTCCAAACAAAGAAATTTGGTTTCAGCATTAGGGTCATAGGATCTACCACTTAAATGCAATTCCTCATTGCCATCATCAGGACCAACAAATCTTCGCTGCCCAGAAGAAGATGTAGCCATGGGCAGAAAGGGATGAAAAGAGAATCCGTTAACAGTATCTGCGTGGTGTAGAGAACAGAAGAACTTGTTAGGTAATAGAAGAGACTAAATGTCATATTGAAGTAGCATTCTCACATCTTTAGAGGATACAAAATGAATTACCCAATGCAGCTTGGAAGCCTGATACCCATTGTCCAGTTTGAAGGTCATAGATATGAACAATACCGTCCTGAAACCGAAATGCACAAATAAGCAGATAAGTAACAAATCAATATAAAATAGGGTTTTGACTTGGTTGTGGCATAACATCTGGACATTGAAGCATAATTTAAAGCTAAGGTGCTACCTGGCCACCTGTACAAAGATGTCGGCCGAGTGGGTCAATATCAAACAGAATTCGCTGGTTGGTATCTTCCGACGACCTGTATAACCTAATTCCAAGGTGCAAATAAAATAACGTGAGCAAAAAAGATTTTCAATGTACAGAATACTTGATAATTTTCTAAATTAGAGAAAATAATAAAAAAGAATCTTACTTGTACACAACATCAACAGCTTTGCGCATATCCCAGCATAGTATATAAGGATCCTTCAAGTAAAATTTATGTAAGCCAATGAAAATCACATTTAAAATAGAAAACAAGAGCACATATGCTAATATATAAACACTTCAAAAAATTTACTCGCATCATAAACTGACAGCTGTTATAGAGAACTTGTTTACTGCATTTCAAATAATCAAGCCAATGCCAAAAAATAATAAAAATTTACTCGCATCATAAACCAACCAAAAAACATCAAACACATGAAGCTATTTACCTTCCGGCCTCCAGTATATAAATAATTTCCATCCTTTGAAAACTGGACCTGAAAGGAAAATGATTTTGCTCATCTGTTGAAGTTGTGATAAAAGTGAAATGAACAATAAGGAATGCTGACTTACATGTGTAATCCCACCTTCATGACCATGCAATACATATAAGAGTTCCATATTATCTTCTCTATATATTGCAGCAGTCTTGCTGTAAGAACCTATAGCTAGCATTCCACTATGGGTTGGACAAAAAGCCATTGCAGACATTATACCTGTCCACAATAAAAATGCTGAGGATTGTGCACTTGCATAACTTCTTTTAATTTATCATCGGAACTTCTATATAAAGCTAAACTGATAACACGTACCAGTTTGGCCTTCTTTGTTTCCTTGAACAGTTGAATATTGTTCAAAATCCCTACCAGGACGATGTAAATCAAACACCCTAACAGATTTGTTGTATCCAGCAAAAATCCTACAAAACAATTGAAGAATACGATGCTCTTAAATCTTCTGTCAAATTTGGAGAAACACAGGGGAGTGAATATGACGAGTTAGAGGCAACCATAGAGCCATTTCCACATGGTGTCTTACAGTTAGATCACAGTTCATTCTGAGAACTTACATGTGTAGTGTCCAATATTGAAATCCAGGATTCGATGTCCATTTAAATTCCACAAAATTTCTACTCTCAAACATGAAAGTAATAATACAAAAAATAAAGCACAAAACATGTGATTAAATTGTATAACCTTTGAAAAAGGCAAAAAAGAAAGAAAGGAAAAAAGCAGAAGATCTTGCTTACTTCGTTCCAGTGGGATTAAAGGCAATTGAAAAGGCAGCTGTGATTTCATCCACAGCATCATAAGCACGATACGTGCAACGTAGCTGCAATTTTAAGCCAAAGAAAATGGTGTTAATGAAATACACAAATATTGAATCCCCAAATACATATCAGAACTTCATATACAAGGGAACAGAGTGATCTAAACATGGAATAGCCGAATTGTATATGTTGCAATGACATACCAAGTGGTAAACTTTACAAAGATACTAATTTTATTTGCATAATGAAGACTTGCAATAATGAGCCCGCACCTGCCCAGAAGAAGCATCCCAAAGATGAATTGGATGGTCACGAGATGTTGTTGCAAAAACACTGGTAACTGGGTCTGCAAATGCCAACCAAGATTCCAAATCAAGCTTTAGCTTAGAGTATTAAATCAGCCGCAAGAAAACATATATTTTGAAATATCAAATGGAGATTCTCATTGTCATAATAATAATAATAATAATAGGATAAACTTAACAGGTTCTCCCCATGACAGAGTTACAAAGATACCTGAAGCAGACATGTACGGGTACCAACAGAAGTCATATACAGACTCTCCCTCATTCACAACACAGTTTGCAGCATAGGAATCTGCAGCTTAAGAGTAAAAACATAAAAGCTTAAAAAGGATGACTTCACTTAGATGCAAATACAAACTAATCAAACCTAGCTCGACAATGAAGACTTTAATTCACAAATAATACCAAGCAAAAAAATTTATTCTTTTCATGATAATATATTTGGAAGAAACTAATATTAGACTAATATCTTAGACTAATATTAGTACATAATATAATAAAATTTTAGACTAATATTAGCAAAAATTTTAGTAATATTAGTACATAATATAATAAAATTTTAGACTAATATCTTCTGAAAGCGAACTTACCTTCATCAGCAGCTACAGAACACGCGTTAACATTATCGCTCCCATAATCTGGTCTGGTTAAGAAGCAAACAAGAGTATAGTTAGCAAAACTTGTTTTTGTCCAATATAAAGCAAGCAGTAGCAGACACCATTGTTTGCAATTTAAGAAAGTTGGTTTTTTGAATTGCATTTTGAGTAGTTATAAAGGCAAGAAAGTAAAACCGAAAATTGTTACCCAAACCAAATGGCACTGCTTTACTCAAATACAATTTACATTCCCCTTTTGTACTCTCCACAATCCACACAATGCAATCAATGGAAAACTTACAATGCGAAAACACGAAGCATATTGTCCTCGGAACTGGTAAGAAAGCACGACCCATCTGGAGACCTAAACCCAAAAAATTAAATACAAAATCAAAAAACCAAAATGTGGAAAGAAAACAAAAGAATGAGAAAGCAAGGGTTGGTGCAACATATACCATTTGACGCCCTTGAGAAAGTTGTTGGGGTTTGGAGAAGCTCTGAACTGGTGACAGAAGTGGTAGGTTCTCTG